GACATAATTTGAACAACATGTCACGCCAGACAGTGAACGTGTTAATAAGTAAATGTTCAAATTATATCCTGTTTGATTATATTTTTCTATTATGAATTGTCGAGCCGTGAAATCTCGTAAAAGAAACCGAATGGTGTAGCGTTACACGCTTGACTAACAGCGAGCGAGATAACATAGGCGCAGCAATGACGCAGACCTAGGCGTAGGACCATCTATACTGACACTTGTAGAATCCAAACTGACTGACACTTGTAGAGAATTTACTGTACTTACTTTGGCGACCGACGCTTAGACAATGCGACCACAAACTTGTAGAAAATACATACATTTACGGATATCTAGAAGCTTTTGAATCATTTTGCGCCCACCCTATTTTCGGCTCGGGGTGGTTTCGACACGAGAGAGAAATAATCAAGCAGAAGATTGGGCCGAATAGTATTAGTCGAGGGAATATCGTGGATTGTGCAATTGAGATTTAGGGTCCAAGTGTATCGTTAACATTTCCATTGTCACTGTCCAAAATAATGTTGTTATTTGGGAAATTCGTTTAAACAATTTATTCGATTCTTTTATGTAAAGGGGAGGGAAGGTGGAAGAGAAAAAGAAAGAGAGCGTGAAGATTGAACTAGAAATTAAATTATTAAAACCGAATTAAAAAGAACAGAGGTGGCAGAAATTTGAACTGTCTGTATTTTCTTTTTCATTCGAAGTAACATATTTTTTTATGGGAATAGTGTAATCAACGTGCAAAATAATACCGTTTCTAAATAATAAAGAAATTGATTAACTTATTATTTGTTATTACAACCTTGTATCATTTGCGTTTCTGTTTCCTTTCAAATTAACAGAATTATTATTGCACAATTATTTACAAAAATGAGAATTGCAATATTTCTATGAAAAATATAATACACGGTTTTAAATAACAATTGTTTTCAACATGAATAGTATTCGTAAGTAGCGTTAATTTTTTACATAAATGACTATGATCTTGTTAACTAATTTTTAAGTATAATGTGCTTATATATGTAGCAAATGACTATATATCAATGCTTATATTTACATAATTTTACACGGGTCAAATTTATTATATGATAGAAATAAAAGTAGTAATTTGGTAAATATGAATGATGTAAGAGTAATAAAAATAAAGAGCTACTTAAAAATGTAGGGGGTAGCATAATCATAAAGAAGAAAGATGAAAGAAAGGGCATTAAAACTACGTAAGATATGCAGGGTGTTCGAAAAAAATGAGTTTGAAAATCCGTCAGGTACTGGTGTATTAACTGCAAGTTTCGAGGTATGAAACTTCTGTTTCTGCTCCTGTTTGTATTATTAAACATGGACAGTGTCATTATTGTCATTACTTCCTGTTATTATTGTTATCTTATTTCCGCAATATCTGTTTGTACTGTTACTTTCTTCCATTCTGTATTTAATTTGAATGGTTTCATAAATAAGGATAAGGTTAGTACTTTTTAAGAATCATTTTATTAGTACAATTATTAAAATTATCAAATTAATGTAACAAGTGTTGGAAATGTTGACCGTGTTGCTGCATACACGAGCAGAAACAGAAGTTTCATCTCGAAACTTGCAGTTAATATACGAGTATACTTGACAGATTTTCAAACCCATTTTTTTTTAAAGCGAAACCTTAAATAGAAAAGTGTTATTCTTTTTTCGGCTTATTTTTGCATGTAGAAATACCACCCGGTCGGTTTTACCACGATTTTGGGGACATCCTGTATAATTACACTGGTGCGAGCAGCGCAGCGTAGTGGTTTGGTTCCAGAACTAGACTCCCAAACAGTTTGACAATGAAAGAGAATGTATACATATAACGACAGTAAACGAGATAGACGTAGTGAATTTGAAAAGGACATCATCTACGTTGCCACGAATCGTCTAATGTCAAAAATTTCAATTTTTCTAATTTTCTTTCTATCTTTATGAAATTAGTACAAAAGAATTTGCGAGGTTATCCCGATGAAAATAATTCCAATGAACGTTCGGGCTCATTTTCATCGTGAAAACCTCACCAATCCATGGTTCTATTTTCATAAAGATAGGATGAAAATTAGAGAAATGGACATTTTCTATCTTGAATGATTCATTGCAACACAAGCAGTATCCCTTTCGAGTGCTGTATCTCGCCTACTCCCACCATATCTATTTACTTTCCTCTTCGATATGTTTAGGTTTGCTGAACTCAAGGCACTGGAAGATGGGTAAAGGGTGGGGATGGTTCGTTCAAATTTAACCGAGCACCAGTGTATTTGTCGAATCACTGAAATAAATACTAATTACATATTGCGTAGTAACCAAGAGATTTTTAATTATACTGTGTCTGCCGACCTGTGCGAAAATTGGTTCAAACGAATGGTGCACGGTTCGAAGGGGGAGCCACATAGTGCGCTACTCGATTTTTTCTTATGATTTGTATTTTTCGAGATTCCAAAGTCATCTTCAGTTTTTTAAACGAAAGTCAAACTTTTTATCATAGCGCAAGTTGTCGATAATATTAAAACAAATTCAGTGATGTGTACTAAAATGATTATTAAGCGACTTTTAAAGAAATTCTTCCAATTAGCATAAGTTAGATTTTAGTGCGTTAATTGGTCGAATTTCGTTAAATACCGTTTAATGATCATTTTAATTTTATCAGTAAATATCCTACTAATAAGCGTATTCAAATTCTTGTTAACATTCAAAGTTCCAGAGTTTAAATCTTGGTATTCGACTTAATATTTATTCCAGAGTTAATAATTCACGGTAATGATCGTATGTATCAAGCTAAATGATGCAAGGAAGTTTCTTTGCAAATGTACTTTACATTTACCTAATAGACCTGGCATTACCATGTCATTTATACGTTGCAAGCACACCTCTTGATTATACCAGACGTATTCCAAGAATCTTTCTCCTTAATTACTCGCAGTAAAACTGTGAAGTGCTTCCGGAAGTGTACTTACATTCGTGGACTTATGTTTCTTCGTAACGATTTACTTCTTTTTGTGAATTATTTCACGAACTACTGCTAATGCCATTTTTATTCACACTTTTAACTTCCTCTTACAATCATTACAATTTTTAACGATTCCGTTTAATCCAAACTAGGAATTCTATCATACAAGAAGCATCTGAGCCCTATTCTTGCAATATTCTTCAGTTAGTATGTACCTAAGTAACGAAACGTACAGAAGAAATGTGAAAGTGTGAGCTGAAATAGTATTTTGCAAATTTAAAATTAAAAGAAAAAACCTTTTAAATTAATCGTTTTTTGACACAAGTACTGTAATATGCTTTTGTGAAGAGTTGAAAAATGTAACGTTAATGTAAGATAAAGTTCAATTAAAGGAAACGAAGCTTAATCTTCAAAGCTTTGAAATCTGTCCACCTCTCGAAGGGTACATACACTACCGGCCAAAAGTTTGGAATCACCTTCCCACTTTTCATCGATATTAAATCTGCTGCTAATTTTTTATAGATTTGAAGTTTATCTCAATTCTACATTTATCAATTTATCTCGTATCAATTGATTCGAGCGATAAAAAATTCTCAAAGTCGCTGACCTTCTTCTGGAAATTTTTCTGTAAATTGCAATGCTCAGTGATTCCAAACTTTTGGCCGGTAGTGTATATGTACATCACGCGATGTATTCCTTTAAACAATTTAATTTTAATATTTCTTTCTATGTGCAACCGTTTTCAAGGCTCTGCTTAATTCGGTTAGCGGTATCAATGCTTTTATCACAATTACATTTATGCAAAATTGAATATTCCTCATAACGAAGGCAGGCAATCTTCTGCAAGTCTCATTACAGAATGAAAATGTGATCGAGTAAATTTTCACCTAAATACGTTTGCGAGGTATAACATCTCTTAATATACACTGTATTCTTAACAAAGCATACACCTAATATACGATATAACACATTGTAATATACGCCACATACTTCTTAATATAATATAAGGTATGCAATTTGTACAAGGTATAGCTTTCGTTTTATTATAATAGAACAACGATAGAGGAAGAGAAATTGAACGATGTAAAAGTATCTGTTTTCCTACGAACTCGTTCTTTTCTTTTGAAAGTGCAATAATGCACTGGAAAAGTGAAGTTACGCTAATTTTTTAAGTGAAATTTAGGTTTCTTTTTTGCAGAGGTGATTTCTCAGGTGAAAACATTAAGTACGATAGTCAACAAATAAATATAGATCAAAATTTAAATTGCGAATAAAAGTGGCTTCTATCATTTCTCGTCACTGTTTTATAAATTCTTAATATGTTAACCCCTTAAGCAGGGAGAGCGAGTATCTCGACGAGCGCTCCTTTTTTAGTGTATAGAAAAGATTCAAAAAATACTATCAAAAGACATTTCGACATTTATTAGACATAACAATGTTCAATTCCTACATACTTTATAAAAAACGAGGGAGTACATGTAAGCAGATTCAATTTCAAATAAATACGGCAGTTCAATACCTTCGGTAGTAGAAGGATCGTTACAAAAATCTAATACAAATCCGGCAAGATTGTTTCAAA